CCCCCCCCCCCCCCAACCCCGTTAAAAAATTATGCAGTCTGACAATCGATTCCCCTGGGAAAGAGACCACCAAAGACAGACTTGAAATATAACTTTATAAATTACAAACGTTTGTGGCAGGAAACTTCCCAACCGGTCTAATGTAGACATTTCCTTAACATGTATGGAACAGTTTGGGGAGAGACTCAAAGGCTCAAGTGTAACAAGCCCCCCCCCCCCCTCCAAAGGGGGCTCTCAAGGCAGATCCCATTCACAACCAGCCATGTGATTATACGTATTTTTTGGAGGTGTAACAGATGCACTGCTCCCTTTCAAATTCTTTTCTCAAAAATAGAACTGACCTTTTATTTACCCTGATCTCACCGTCTTTTAGGGGCCTACCTTCACCCATCTTCTCTGCAGCCAACATTCAATGTTGGCCCATTTCTCGTTAAACGCTTCACAAAAATATAACTCACTGGGAACACAACTGTCCTTTTTCACTTTCTTGCTCTCCCTTCAAATATGGAAGGAACAAAAATGGGTGTTCTCCCTCCCAGATAGAGGCATGACCCCCTCAACAACACCCTAAAACCTTCTCTGAGCAATCGCTGCTTCTGAGAATTCCTCCCGTGGCAGCTGCAGAGGCTTTGCTCGGGCCGGAAAGATGCGCCATCTCCAAGTGCAACCCAAGAGGATGCTTCGTACGTGCAAATGAATTTGGGGGTGACCCTTCTTACAGATTGCTAAAAAATATGAGCCAGAAGGGAGGTTGAAGGCAGAGCTAGAAACCCTGACCGGAGTTTTACAAGCTTCTCAAAAGGGGTTTAATACTGAAATCTCAACGCCAGGAGGTGAAGTTTGGTCCGTCGGTAGAATACTAAAAACCACTGGAAAACTGTACTCTGGACTCCGGCTCCCATCGCTCGGGGCGAGCATCGCAGGGAGGCCCGGAGGTCAAGGTCGGGCTGGCTGGTGGGGCCGACTAACCCAGGCCCACAAGTGTCCTGGAGCGGGGGGATGGGTGCGGAGAGGCTTCCGAGACGCCTTCCGTGATACAGTGCTGAAAATAGGGCTCCCCCCCGACCCCCCCAGATACAGGCTGGCTGAGAGGATCCCGGCCTCGGCCGGCTGCCTTTCCCCAAAGCCCCAAAGAGATGGCAGTGCACGAGAGAGGAAGCGTCGCGACGCTTCAGGAAGCCGGCAGTACGAAAGAGCGTCCGTCTTTAGCAACCTTCTCCAAGCGGGCAGCCTCCGTTTCCGCAGCACTACGGTGGTTGTGGGGCTTGGGGAGAGCGGACCTCCTCTCTGCACGCCCTTCTCCTCCGAAGCCCCCCCAGGCTGGGCCCGCTCTGTCCTCCGCCCAGGCTGGAGGGGGCTGGACGCCTTCCGTGAGCCCCTGCGCCCCGGAGCTGGGCCGCCTGGGGGGCTCCGAGGGGCCCCAGGCTTCAGTCTCCTCCATCCAAAGGAGTTTGTGGTGTCAGCAGTTCCAAGGGGCAGGGGGGGGGCTGCTCCACCCCCCCCATCCTCCCCTCGCCAAGAGACCGGCCATGCAGAGTGTGGGGAAGATCTTCGGCTCACGTTTCTCCCCGGGTGGGGGGCGGGTGGGGGGAAAGGAACCCGCCCAGGACACTTTCACTGAAAGAACAAAAGAGAAGGAAGGAGGGTCAGATAGGGGACCCCAAGCCTGGGTGCTTGAGACGGGGGGGGGGGGGGCTGCCAGTCCCGGTGAGGGCAGGGACCCTCTCCCCTGCGTATCCCCTCCCAAACAGTCACCCAAATGGGGGAGGGGGGGCTGAGGAGGAGGGAAAGAGACTCACACAATTGATTTCTGTTTCGGCCAAATCTCCGAGTTGCTGCACCAGCTCAGAAGGCTGCCCTGTGACCGAAGGGCTGGGGGAAGCACTGGGGGGGGGGGGGGGGGGGGAAAGCAGAGGAGGGGTGGGGGGGGGGGGCACCTCCACCAGCCCCAACCCCATCCTTGGACCCACAGTCACTCCCTCTCTCTCTCTCTCTCTCTCACACACACACACACACACTGTCCTGGTCCTGCGGCATGAAACCTGCTGTGCCATCGAGAGCCACAATCCGTGTGTGCCAGAAAGCTCTTTCCAAGCTGCAGAGAAGGACGTGGCGCCTCCCGCGGCCCTGGATGAGAGCAACCCTCTTTGGCCAGAAGGGAGGGGAGGACTGGGGGCCCCCAGGAGCTACTCCCCTGTCCCTGGGTGGGCAGGGGGGCTTCCTCGCCCCCACGGCCCGGCTGCCTAGATTCTGCCTCACCTACTTGAAAGCATCCTGCACTATCTAGCTCCGTAGGCAACTTGTCTGATCTGACAAACTTTCGCCTCTCTGACCTACGTGGAGATGAAGAGACAGACCTTTGGTCAACTGGGGAGGGGGGAAGAAAAGGTGCCCCCCTCCCCCCTGCCAGGCCCCATTCCAAGGGCTTCGAAGTTTTCAGAGAACTAGGCTGTGAAAAGTCTCCTTCGGTCATCGAAGCCACTCCTGAAGGTCTGGAAATCTGGACAAGAGCACAGGGGCACTTTGGGGGGTCTCCAATCTCTCCCCCTGCTCACCTTTCCAGAAGGAAGACAGCCGGGTCCTTGGGGGTGTCTGGTGGGGGCGCCTCTGCCCCCATTGAGCTGAAGGGAGGAAGAGGGGAAGAGAGTGGACGCCAGGCCCGTCTCCACACGGGACAGCCCACGAATTAGCCCTCCAAAATCTCACCCCAGGGTGGACGGGGCCATTCTCTCCACGGCCAGGATGGCCAAGCCCCCCCCTCAATGGCTCCAGGGACCCTCCAGCCCCTGGGAAACCTCCCCACCCTGCAGGGGACAGCAACTGACCGGTTGGCTGGCGAGCTGTGCCCGGGGCTGCCCAGCGAAGAGGTGGACAAGGTGGTCGCTGCCGAGTCGCTGTTGGCCTCTTCAACGGGGGGCGTCTGGGGAAGCAGGTCAGGGCGCCCCAGCTGGGACCCTGAGAAGGGAGAGGGGGGGGGAGGCTGAGTGACCCTTGCTGTGCAGCATGGGTGTGTTCACAGCAGGCCCTGCCACCCCGTCGAGATTGACAGAGGCTGACAGAGAGGGCGGGTCACCCCCGGAAGACCTTTTGGGACAGGCTGTCCAACCGTGGCCACTTGAAGAGCCGGGGACTTCAACTCCCAGAATTCTGTGCATGGCTGGCAGGGGAATTCTGGGAGCTGTAGTCCCCGGCTCTTCAAGTGGCCACGGTTGGAGACCCCTGCTTTAGAAGGGCTCCTGGCTGGGGTTAGAAACCACCGCCTCCTCCCTGGCACAAGCTTGCTGTTTGTGCAAAGGGCCGGGAGGGGCTTAAATTTGGACCCCCTCCCCAATTCGGATGACAAGAGCAGGGTTGCGGGCAAGGGCCACCCACCTGTCTCCATCTCCGCCTCCATTGTGACCTGGACTTTCGTCTCGCTCAGCGCCTGGGCGGGGGTCCCGGTCTGGCCCGGCCGACGAGGAGGTCCCATCCCGGAGCGGCTCTTTTTCGAAGGGGAGGATTTTACTTGGAGGAGAAAGAGACCAAAGTCAGCCGAAGAGTCTTAGGAGCCCCTCTAAGGCCCATAATTTGGGGAGGGGGGCGCATGGGAAGGAGACCCCCCCCTCCTGCCAGGCCAGCCGGCCGGCGACCCACGAGGGACTCACGAGGGATCTTCTTAAAGACAGCCTGGCACATGAAGCGCTGGAACCTCTCGGCGTAAAAGCTCGGCCGGTGAACGGAGACCGTGTCCTGCAGGGAAGCGGGCAAAAGTCACCCCCAAAAGAAGTGTGTGGGGGTGCAGAGGATCTTCCTGCCCCCCACTCCAGACCTCCGTCCACCTCGGCCGCCGCTTACCCCGTCGTGAACCAGGGCTTTCCACGAGTGCTCCAGCTTCTTCATGAACCTGCAGCAGGGAGGAGGAGGAGGAGGAGGAGGAGGAGGGAGGAGGGAGGAGACGCTGAAAACCAGGCTGGGAGGCGGCAGCTCTGCCCCAAAGGCCCGGCTCGGCTGCCCTCCTCCCTTCCAGCTTCCCTGCCGCCCTCACTCCCGCCCGGCCTCTCTCTCTGCTGGCGCTGCCTGGGCTGCTCCGTCGGCGCCAATGGCTTCCTGCTGCCGGCTGGCAGGAGAGGAACGCCCAGGCGGCCCCACCCGAGCGGAGGAGGCGGAGGCCGGGCGGCTGCTCTCACCTGTACGACTGCAGCACGTCGATGATCCCCACGTAAAGGAGCAGCCTCTCCCCCTTGGCGTTTCGGGCCGGGATGCCTCCCATCCTGCCGGGGGGGGGAGGAAACGGAGGCATGGGACGGGTGGAAGGAGAGCCCCCAGCCAGGACCCCCCCACCCCCCGCCTCCCCTCCGAGGCGCCCTGGCTGGGCTGCCCCCACTTACTGGTCGTCCGTCTCGATGGTGCCCCCCCTCCGGGCCTCCCCCTGGATGGCCTCCATGGCGGTGGAGTAGAGGGCCCTCTGGCCGGCCGGCCGGCGTGTGTCCGCCAGGGAGGCCCCGTCGGCTACCGCCCGTTCCCGCTGGGCCAGGTCCAGGTTGTGAACGGCCACCAGCAAACTGTAGTCCATGATCTTGAAGCTCTGCAGGACCTGGAGGGGTGGGGGGGGTGTCAGGCAGAGGAAAAGGGAGCCCCCACCCCCAGTAAGCCATGAGGGCCGGGCGGCCTTCGCTCCAAGTCACAGCTCAGGTGGGAGGAGGCGGCCAGGTAGACTTTGGCCCCGAGAGCCATAAAGGCCCTTTGCGCAACCCGACCCCGAGAAACCCCGGGGGCCCCTTCCTCAAGGAGTGCCAGCCCCCCCCCCCCCCACCGCCCCCCCGCCCCCGCCCCCCCCCCCCCCTCCCTGCCCCGTCCACGCCCCCCCCCCCCTCCCCGGGGTCGCCTTGAGAACCCCCCAGCCCCCCCCCCACCGACGAAGAGGAAACGGACCCCCTCCCTGCTCCGAAGGGCAGAGCAGCCCCCCGCCTCCCTGGGGGGAGGGGCAACGGGAGGGGGCCACCCCCCACCTACCAGGCAGTCCCGCTGCAGGGTCTTGCACAGGGCGCTGTGCATGTCGGCGTCCAGGAAGAGCCCCTCGGGGGCCTCCTGCAGGAAGTCCAGGTCCTTGTAGGTGGGGAAGACCTTCTCGCGCTCCTTCGGCGACGCCCGGCGCTTGTAGGTGGAGCCCTTCAGGTCAAACTTCTGGTGCATGCGCACCGAGCGAGGGAGCAGGTTGTTCATCACCACCATGCGGATGTTCTTGCCCCCCGCCTGGACGCAGTAGAGGCCGTAGAACTTGGGCAGCAGCGTCCGGGGGTTCTGGTTCAGGTTCTGGGAAATGCGGGGGGGGGGGGAATCCTTTAAGGTGAAGCCCCCGAAGAGGGAGGGGCAACTCCTAGCGCCCAGGTGGGTGGGTGGGTGGGTGGGGAATCCGGGGCTTTGTGCCGGGGGGGCCCAGCTGAAGGGCGCAAGGCAGGGGGGAGAGGGAGGGTCTCCTGGGGCCGCCCCCCCGCCGGCCCCCGCTCACCATGTAGTACCCCGGCAGCAGCTTCTGCAGGAACTCGGCCTCCTTGTGCTGGACGGTCTTGATGATGAATTCGTCGTCGCTGGAGACGTAGAAGATGGAGCCGCTGGCGCCCGAGTTGGAGAGCTCGATGAGGGGCTCGCTGCAGAGGGAGCACTGCGGTGGGGGGACACACACAGACACACACACGAGAGGATCAGCGCTTCCAACCTCTCCCCCTCCAAGCGAGGAGAGCTTCCAAGGGCCGCCCCCGCCCCGCCGGGCCCCCTCACCAAGTAGTCGTCCGGCCGGATGCCGAAGAGCTCCCGGAAGTAGCGGAAGGCCACGGGCGCATAGGTCTTGAAGCGGAAGTCGTTGTAGTGGTGGGCCGGGGTCAGATTGCTGCCTTCGCTGCAGGGGGAGGGGGGAAACTCAGTCGGGAGGGAGAGGGGGGCAGGGGGAGGAACTCCCCCCTCCAGCTTGGCTGCGGCTGACCGGGGAGGGGACGGGGGACGGGGGAGCTCACCCGGGGAAGAAGATGCTCTCCACCACGTAGAAATCCTGCATCAGGACGTCCCGCTCCGGCTTGGTGCTGAGGCTGCCCACCGTGTGGGTGATGCCCAGCTGGATGGCACCTTTGAGAGCCGACGAGGTTGTCTGAAGTGGGAGGAGAAGCGGGGGGGGAGGGGAGAGAGCTGATTTTCTGGCCCCCCAAAACAGAAAAGAAGACGTCCTTTTGCAAGCACCCCAAAGGCATCCCGGCTCGCTTGGGCTTTTGCTGAGCCGAGTGGAGTTCTGGCCGTTCCTGCTGACCCAACCCGCGTTTGAGCGTAACTTTAGAGTCGCTTCCTCCTTGGAAAACCACCTGGGGTTGCGCAGCCTGGCGTCCCTTGGAGCGATGGGGCCGGGGGCTGCACCCTCCACCCCACCCAGCCCAGACTCCCCATAGCCAGAGAAACACCTTTGGGGAGCTCCCAGGCAGGGCAGGGCTGCCACCGAATCCAGCCCGTTTCCGGCAGACTGCACCTGCCCAGGGAGGCTCCACCGACCTTCCGTGAAAGGCGGCAGACCCGCCCTCCACCTGGGACCCCCCCCCCGAGCCTGAACACGGCAACCTGCCACTTCGGTCCTTTGGCCCAAGTGGGCAGGAGGGTCCCTTTCACTGGGCGGGGCCTCCCCAGCCAGGTGTTTGGGGCTGAGCGGAGGGGGAGGGAGCGCAACTGGTCTGCCTGGAGTGTCTCAAGTCTTAAGCCTGGAGAACCGCCGGGGCTTCCCCTGCCGGAGCCTTCCGTCAATCTCGGGGCTCTTGACGTCAAAGGCCTTCTCTGCCCTGCTGCCTGGAAATCCCCCGGCTGCTTTCGCTTCCTGGTTCCCCGCCTGGCACCCCCAAACTGGGATCTCCCACTGGATCTGGCGGGGGGGGCAGCCCGCCTCCCAAGCCCTGAACGGTGGAGCCTTCCGCTCGTTTCCCCGGGAGGAGCAGAGCGGCTTCTCTGGGCCCGGGAAGGACGCGGGGGCAGCTCTCAGTCCGGCTTCTTCGACTCTCCAAGGAGGCCGGGGGGGGGGGGGGCTTCCCCTGCCGGCCAGGGCCAAGGCTGCTGCTAACCTCTGGGGCCACCCTTGAAGTCAAAGCAGGAAGAGCGGGCTCAGGTGAGCCAGTGGGTTTCCGGCTGAGCTAGAGAGGCCCGGGGGCCTCCTGGAGGGCTGGGGGGCACAGGGGCACACGGGGAGGCTTGTGCCAAGCTAAGGACGCCAAGTACAGAAACCAAACAGGGGAGAAAAGGGCTCCTTCAAACTCCTCTGGGCATCCCCCCCCCCCCCCCCCCAACCGTCCCTGGGACCCCCAAGCAGCCACTGCCTCCCCAATCCCAGGCATATCTCTGGGCAGCGATAAGGGGGCCACTTACGGAAAGAGGCGGCTTCCGAAAGGACCCATCCCGGCTAGTATCCATCTCAGAGTCCGCTGGAACATGCCGGCCCGGATCCAAGCCCCCTGGGACCCGGGAAGTGCCGGAGATTCCCCCACACGGAGGAGAGGAGGAGGAAGCGGGGGAGGAGGAGGAGGAGGAAGCTATGGATGTGCCAGAGAGCAGGCCTGCATTTTGGGGGGTGAGTGGGAAAGAGCCCCTTTGCGGGAACCCCAGATCGCTTGGCTGTCGATGGTCCAAAGCACCAGAACGAAACTCTCTCTCTCTCTCTCTCTCTCGAAAGAAGCCGTGAGATCCTGAGCGGCGGCAGCGACCGACCGACCGACCGAGGGGCCTTCCAATCCCTGGGATCTACTCCGCCCGAATGTGCCAGTAGGGACCTGCCTCCGAAGCCACACCTGGGCCTTTTATGCCGCAAGCCAGCGCGTGGGGTGACTCAGAGGCTGGGGAATGCGAGGAGCAGGAGGAGGAGGAGGAGGCGGGACGGGGAGGAAGGGGAGGAGAGAGGCCCATGGAGGCCGCAGCCTGGCCCCCCCCCACGCCTGCCCGCTTACCTTCTTGTAGGTGGTTTCTCCGCTGGAATCCACGCTCCGGTGCCCCTTCTTGACTGTCTGAGAGGAGCTGTGCCCGGAGGAGCCTGGCACCTGGGAGCAGAAGGGGAGGAAGGTTCCAATCCTCCCCACGGGCAGCGGGCAGAGCGAGGCCCCCCCCTCAAATCCCCACGTCTTTCCCAACCTCCCCAAATGTTTTCCTCCACTTTTTCCGCAGGGTGCAAAGTCAGGTGCTGGCAGTGGCTGCCTTGCCACCCCGGGCCGGGGAGGAGGGGCAGCCGGGGGAGACCGGGGGGCGGGGGGGGGGGGGGGGTTGCTTTTTGCTTTTTTTAAAAGGGGGAAAAGAAGAAAACCGGAATGGCCACTCACTCACCTCCCAGGACTTTTTCAAGGTCGCGGATGAGGGCGCCCCTGGAAGGGAAAACGGGAGGGGGTGAGACCCCTGGCAGGGGAGGGGAGGGCAGAGATCAAACGGAGCCCGGCCAATGTCCTTGCAGGGATGACTGGCCGGAGGGGAGGGGGGGGTGGGGGGAGGGCAGGAGGAGAGGTGCCCCGAGAGCAGCGTCGCAATGAACCAAACCCAAAGCCCCTTCTCTTCACCCGGGCGCCAGAGTTTGCTCGCTCCTGCCAGCCCACCTGGGGGGGGGGGGGGGGGAGAAACATCCCCTCAGAACTGCCCCCCCCAATTCCCCCCCCTCCGCCCCCTGCACCGAGCGGCCTGACATATCCAGGCCCCACCGCAGAGCGACTCTGCAAACCCCACACACTTTTCTGCCGAGGGAGCCACAGGCGCCATTCGGGGGGCTGAGTCACCCAGAGGCCAAGGGCTCAGCGCCTGGGCCAAGCGGGGGGGGGGAGGGGGCAGCCTCGGGAAACTCCTGCTGCCCCCATCTCTCCGAACGGCTCTCCCCCCCCCCCCCGGAAGGCCTGCAGGCAGCGGCCGGCTCTCCACTGCTAGCCCCCCCGGTTGCCTGTGCCCCCCCCCCGCAAGCTTTGCCCTTGGCCCAGGATTTGCCCCCTTCTGCTCTGGGTCTGGGGACGCCCCCCACCCCCCAACCCGGCTGGGCCCAGGCACTGAAAGCAGCCACCCCAAGGCTCTCCAACCTTGGACACTTTCTGGACTTCAACTCCCACAATTCCCCAGCCAGGAAACTTGGCCGCTTTAAGACTTGTGGAATTCTGGGAGACCCTTCCTCTAAGGGGGGGGGGGGGGGCTTTGGCAGAGGAGGTCAGGGGAATAGCGCCCTCTGGTGGGCCAGGGCTGCTTCGGCAGCGCTGGGAGAAGACAAGGATGCGGTTAAGAGTGCCAGAAAGGTGCAGGCAGCGTCATCGCATCAGCCCTCCAAACCGCAGGCTCTCTGAGGCTGCGGGCCAAATCTTGGCTCAACGAGGTGATCCAGACTGGCCCCTTGGAGGGGATGGGCAGGGGGGGAGGGCAGTTGAGGGGGAAGGGAGAGCCAGCCTTCCCTGGGCCCACTGAGAAGGTGCAGGATCTGCCAAAGCTGCCGGTGTAGCTATTTGGAACAAACACTGATGGTTGGGTGTGCAATTCTCCTGTGGTTGCCGCCTGCTTGCAAGACAGGGAGCGCCCCCCCCCCCCGAGACTGGGGTCCTGCCCTGGGCAGGTAGGCTTGATGACCTCAAGGGCCCCTCGGCCGTGAACCCCAGACTGTGAGAGTCAGGGTCCCACACGAAAGGACGGAGCTGCGGGGCATCCTCACGAGACCTGGCTGTGCTCTGAATCTCTTCCTTCGGGTCTGGACCCCCCCACCCCCTTCGCCCTTCGCCCCCATCTTCTCCCACTTCAGTTCGACCCGTAGAAGAACCAGGAGAAACGCTGGCCAGGCCCAGAGGAAGATGGGCTGCAAAGCAGGCAAAGCTCGGCCAAACCATGCGCTGAACTTGCCAAAGCTCTCATGGAGAGGATGGCGGCGTTGCCAGCACCGCCTCTGTGTCAAGAGGCGGCTGAACCGCCGCTGGATTTGCACACAAGAGGGGGGGGGAACCCAGGTTAGTTGCACGTGTTTCTATCGCGGTTGATTCCACAGCTCTAGCAAGCTTGCGCCGGGAAGAGGCCAGCGAGGCTAAACCCTGGGGAAAAGAGAGTCCACCGTCTCAATGCTCTGAAGACGACTTGGCCTTGAAGCCTGTCTAAAATGGAGGGGGGGGTGTCCCCCCCTGGGAGCATTTCTGAGATCAGCCCCCAGGCCCTGCCAGGGAGTTAGCCCGGAAGGGGCCCCGAGTGTGAGGCCAGGGGATCTTTAAGACCGGAAGGGAGGAGGAAGCGAGCCAAGCAGCTGCTTCGTGTCAAAAATGCCAGGGCATCACCCGCTCACTTCCACACCACCACGGCAGGCAATGACGGGCCAGGCGGATTAGCAGGAGGTCATGCTCAGGCCACGGTTTTACCCATACATCTACGTCTTCGAGAGGGCACCACGGAGCAGCAGAGGAAGCTAAAGGCTGGCAGAGAGGAGAGAGAGAGAGAGAGAGAGAGAAAAGGGGAAGCAATAGAAATTTTCCAGAAGGAAGGAGCCTTTGTTTGCTCAGCTGACAGTCCGGATCACGGAGACCTGAAGTTCAGCTAGAGAGGAAGGGAAGGAAGTCGGTTCATGAAAGCCACCGCGGGGGGGGGGGGGGGGGGGGGGGGGGCCTTGGGGCCTCCCCCGCAAGGGGGAAACCCCCCCCCCCCCCCCCCCCCCCCCCCCCCCCCCCCCTTCCTTCTGCATCTCCCCAGGGCGAAACTCCACAAGGAGGAAGAGCCCAGGACTCTCCGAGCTTGGCGGCTTTCTTGCAGACGCTTCGCGACCCAACTAGGTTACAGCCTCAGTGCCAGGAGCATTTGCAGCCAATCCCACTAGCCCCGATGACGTTACCTAGTTGGGTCACGAAACGTCTGCAAGAACAAAGTCCAGCAGGCACCAAGGACCCCACAGGCATCATTACGGGCCGCAGGCCGGCATAACGCAAGGGCTGCTTTCGCCGGTTTGGAAAGCCACCTTTTAACGGCTGCTCCCAATTCAAACGCATCTCTGGAGGCCGAGGATCCTGAACAGCCACTTCGATTTCCAGGAAGGGAAACTCTGCTCGGAACTGGCCTCCTCCTCCTCCTCCTCCCCCCGCCACGTTCGAGCGGCTTCCCCTGAAGTCTGAAAAGGGAAGCCTGGACGCTTCTGAAGAACCCGCACACAGAGGAGCAGCTTTCCCACGCTGGGAGAGAAAGATCTATCTATCTATCAATCTATCTATCATCTGTCTGTCTGTCTGTCTGTCTGTCTATCTATCTATCTATCATCTGTCTATCTGTCTGTCTGTCTGTCTGTCTATCTATCTATCTATCATCGTCTGTCTGTCTGTCTATCTATCTATCTATCTATCATCTGTCTATCTGTCTATCTATCTATCTATCTATCATCGTCTGTCTATCTATCTATCTATCTATCTATCTATCTATCTATCTATCTATCTATCATCTATCTATCTATCTTTGCAAAGTCAGCTTTGCCACTTTTGACCTCAGCTTTGCTCAGCTTCCGTTTCTCCTCCCTCTGAATGGCAGGGTCTCAATGCCCCCCCCCCCACTTGGTACAAGGCCTGGAAAGGAACATGGGCCTTGCTTCAGAGACACTGCCGCCTTGGGCCCAAGAACGGGGGAAACGAGTCGCCTTTAAAAGAGAAATGAGAACTGCTAACTGCCCCCGAGGGAGCCCTTTTCTCAGCCAACTCTCCCTCGGATGAGGAGCAGCCCCCTTCCTTCCTCCCCTAAGCCAAGGCTGAATTTCCCCCGCGGAGACTGTAAAAGGAATATTCGCAGGGACCGGCTCCACGATGCTGGAGCTCCATCCAAGCCACGCGAGACTCCAAAAACGAAAGAAAAGAACCGGTGCCTTGTTTGTCCCGCTGGTTAAGGAACAGGCAGCTTGCAAGGAAGGGAGAAGTCACGTTAACCGGAAAAGGCAAGGAGAGCATCCAAGGACTTCAGAGCAGAGGCAACCAGGAAAGGTTGCAAAGGGGGAGGGAGGGAGGAGGGGGGGTTAGCGCATATCCTAGTGAGTTTCGGACCGCACCGTTCAGAATCGAAGCGCTTCCGGGCAAAGGTTTCCAGGAAAGGTCCTTTTTAAGCCACACCGAAGGGAAGGACGGCGGCTCTGGGTCCATCCAAAGCCACCAACAGGAGTTTTATAGACATTTGGATCCCACAAGGTTGCCACGCTCGGCGGCCAAAAATGAAAATGGCACCTCGGAGGGGGAGGGAAAAAACGGGGGGCTGGATTCAGAGCTAAGCTTAAGCCACCCTTCCAAAGAGCAGAACGGCTGCGGGAAGAATCAATGCCTATTTTTAAAAGGCAATGCCTAAAATAGCTTATTTCCCAAGTGAAGATTTTGGCTTCCCTCAAGGAGAGCAACGATAAAGGGAGGAGGGGGCCGGCTAGCAGGGTAAGTGCCGAAAAAGGGGGTCCTTCAATGGCCACGATCTTCAGAAACTAATTGCTCTTTCAACATGTTCAGTCCCCTGGAAAGGAAGGCACCTGGCGTTACAGGTGACAGTGGAAAATAGCAACCTATACCCACCATGCAGAAAAAAATCAATAAAGGTATTTGTCCGGCAAAGGCATCACAGCATTTCTGATTTTTCATGGCACGTTCAGGATTTTATTGTTTGAGACATGTGAGAATCCGAGCGCCCGTTCCACCAACAAAAACGCCCCTCCAACTAATGCATTTATTCTTTTTTTTAAAAAAGGCTCGCCCGCTGAGTCAGGAAAAGCCAGCATAACATCTGCTTTCTTATCAGGTCTCTAGCTGGCGATGGGGAGGAGAAGTGTATAATTCACGAATTCCGAGGAATTTTGGCTTTATTTCAGCTCTACGGACGAATTTAGCTGGAAAAACGCTCACGGGCATTACTGGTATCGATCAAGACAGGCCCAACTTTTAAGGCTCAAAATGAGCCAGCAGATTTTTGCAAGAAGGGAGAAACGCAGCTTGAGCCCCAGAGACACCAGGGACAATATTGGGGGGGGGGAGGCCAGCTAGAGCCCCCCCAAACCTTCCCCTCCACACACACACACACCCCTCGTGACTCAGGACAAGCTTTGGGGGGCACCTCGGCCCCCTCGCCTCGGGGGAGGGGGTGGTCTTGGGTGGGGAGTCCATGAGTGCCCCGGGCTGGGTGGGGTCCTGCCAGCCCATCTGGAAGGTGGGCGAGGAGAGGCAGGAGGGGCTGCCCCCCAAAGAGCCCCCCCCACATCGCCATGGCAACAGCTGCCCTGCAGAAAGAGGATCCGCCCCTCCCTTCAACTGGCACTCTCGGGAAGCCCCCTCCCCTAATGGGGCAACCTGACCCTCCCTCTCTTGGGGGGGGGCGGGCAGGGCTCCCCCTCCCCGAATGGCCCCCATTGAGGGTCTCGAGGGCCAAAGCTCCCTCTTGTCTCTGCTTCCTTGCGCCCCCCCCCGATGCCCCTTCCCCAATTGGTCCCCCAAAGAGGGAGGAGGCTCCCCAACGGCCCCTCCCCACGTTCCCACCTTCGCCCCCTCCCCATTTCAGGGCTGCCCTCCCCCTTCTTCCGGTCCTCCCGCAGACTCAGTGAGGGCTCTCCCTCCACCCCACCCCCCCATTTAAGGAAGGGTCTGGCTGTCCCCCCCTCGGGGACCCCTTACCCGTGGCGGCCCCGCTGCTGCTGCTGCTGCTTCCCCCGGACTCGGGCCCGGCCGACGCCATCTTAGCGCTTCTCCCGTCGCTGCTGTCCCCGGCTTTTCCGCTCGCCTCCCCCCGCGGCGCCCCCTTGGTCTCGCCCTATCGGCTCCGGCCGCCGCTGTGGGCCGTGCCACGCTCGCCTCCGGAGGGGTGGCTACACCTCCTCCCGGTCGCTCCCTGGAGGCGCCTCACCCCCGCCCCGGCTTCCTGGAATCGGCCCGCCCGCAGGAATCGGGAGAAACCACTTGGCGGCGGCGGGGGGGGGGTTAGAAAAAGAGGCAGCGCCTCCTTGTTTATCCTAACGGAAAACGGTCCGTCAGAAAAGGGGTGGGGAAATAGGTGCCGCGCAGGCGCAGAGAATAACCGAAGGTCGTGGCTGGCCGCGTCAACGTAGCAGTGGGTGTGCCCTCCTCTGCATCACAGAGCGCGCTCCTTCCGTGCGGGAGGGGCAGCCCTGCGTGGCCCTGACGTCGGAAGCACGCCCGTCGCCTTGGCAACGCCAACGTTCTGCGCCCGCCTCTACGACGTCACGAGCCGGGCGAGAGTGACGTCAGACTCGGAACGATTTCTTGGCAGATTCCGCAGTCAATTCGTTTCGTTCCATCTTTGGGCGTCACTCACCGCCCCCCCCCATAGAAATGGCCCCCTAAAAATACAACCGCCCCCCACGTCTCCGACCCCGCCGTTTTAGAAAAAGCCCAGGGCCTGATTTTTTTTTAAAAAAAAAACCTTTTAATCCCTGCAAATTCCGAGCAGGGCTGGCGACACCCCCCCGCCCCAGGACCCCCCTCCCAAAGGCGGCGGGAGACGCAGCGCCACTTGCACTAATGCAGCCCCGGCCGTGGGCTCCTCCATCAGCCCCGGACGCCAATGGAGCCTCCAGGTCCACCTCGCACAGCCCTCCCCCTATTTATCCGGGGCGGGGGCGCCGAGCCAAGCCCGGAAGCCGCCCGTCCGCCTCCCCCGCTCCATAAAAGAGAGCCGGGGGTGGCCCGGTTGCTGCTGCTGCTGCTGCGAGGACGGCCCCGCTTCCTCCATGGGCGCTCGCTTGGCTCATTCCCCGCTCGCCGCCTCGGCGGTCGACTTCTCCTGCCTGGCCGCCCGGCTCAGCGCTTCCGCCTCCGCAGGCGCCGCAGTGGCGAGCCGAGCGCATGGATCGCGGGCAGGCGGAGGAGGAGGAGGAGGAGGAGGAGAAGGCGGCATGATGGCGGCGGCGGCGGGAGCGGCGAGCTCGTCGGCCTCCGCCTCTTCTTCTTCTTCTTCGGGCCTGGCCGGCGGGCGAGCGCCGCGGCGGACGGCGGGGAACCGGCTCTCGGGGCTGCTGAACGCCGAGGAGGAGGACGAGTTCTACCAGACCACCTACGGGGGCTTCACCGAGGTCCGCGGCCAGGGAGGACCGCGGGGGCGGGGCCAGGAGGGAGGGGGCGGGGCTCGCGCGGGATTGGCTGGAATAAAGGAAGAGGGGCGGGCTTAACAGGTCTTCCAGGACGCGCCTCCCCAACCGGTCGCCCCCGGGCCGGCCTTGATTCGCGGACCCATCCTCCCCCATCTCGGTTTCAGGGCGGGGAGGATGGGCTTTGGGGGAGAGATCTGCAGCCTTTCCCATCTCAGGAGACGCGGGCCTGCCACATCCACCCTCCTGGCAGATGGGGAGTGGGATGGGCTCTGTAGTCCAACGGCATCGCCTGGAAGGATGGGACGCGGGAGTCTGAAATCTTTCGGCAGGAATCGGGCGACGATGAGTACAAAGGGGACCAGTCGGACAGCGAGGACGAAGTGGACTCCGACTTCGACATCGACGAAGGGGACGAGCCCAGCAGCGACCAGGACGACTCGGTGCCCAAGAGGAAGAGGAGGGTGGTCACCAAGGCCTACAAGGTGAGACCCTCGTAGGGCGGCAGCAGTGCCTGGCCAGCCCCGGCCCCAAAGCAGCCCGTTTTCAGTCAGAGTACGGCTGGAAGGGACCCTGGAGGTCTTCTAGCCCAACCCCCTGCTTGAACAGGACAGCCTATGCCATTGGGGACAAGTGGCTGTCCAGCCTCTTCTTAAAAACCTCCAGCCGTTCCACTGTTGAATTGTACTCAACTCGGGAAATTCCTCCTCATTTCTCGGTTGGTTCCTTCCTTGATTGGTTTGCACCCGTTGCTTCTTGTCCTGTCCTTAAGTGCTTTGGAGAACAGCTTGACTCCCTCTTCTTTGGGGCAGCCCTGAGATATCAGAACAAGGCTATCGCGCTGCCACCCCCCCCCCCCCATTCCTTCTTTCCTCCGGACTGGCCAAGCCCACTTCCTGCAACCGTCCTTCGTATGTTTTTGTCCCTGGGCCCTTCATCCTCTTAGTTGCTCTTCTTTCTGATGCTGCCCAGGAAGAGGGAAGCCTGTTCTTCCAGGCCCCCAAAGGCTTTCTCACCCGCTTAATGACGTGCCACTGAGTGAGCCCGAACCTTTTGCAGGAACCCATCAAAAGCTTGAGGCTGAAGAAGCCCGATGCCCCGGCCAGCAGCTCGCAGAAGACCAGAGAGGACAGATCGGCACCCGCAGAACTGGAAGACACAGTGGACAGTGAGTATCCCCTGGAGGGGGCAGCTGGGCGGGGGGGGGGGGAAGGGGCTCTCAGGCGCTTCCTTCTCTCCCGAGCCTGGCCTGAAGCTCCCTTGCTCGCCCTCCTCTTCCTCCCTCCACTCTGCAGGCCGGAAATACATGCGCCAGTCGACCACCGAGCACACCCGCCAGACGTTTCTGCGCCTCCAGGAGCGCCAGGTGCAGTCTAGGCGCAAGAAGGGGGGCGGACCCAGCTACGACCGGCCCCTGACCCAGGAAGAGCTCCTGAGGGAGGCCAAGATCACCGAGGAGCTCAACCTGCGCTCTCTGGGTAAGCCGGGGGGAGAGGGGGAGTTCACTTGCAAAAAGCAGCTAGTCCCAATCGAGAAAGGCGCAAGCTTTCTTCAAATACCTCTCAACTGTTGGCCTGTTCCGAGAGGTTTTAGTCTGCATCCCCGTCATATTTTATGGAATGTGTTGGTTGGCGTGATGAGCGCTGTTGGTCTCTGGGACAAATGGAGCAGAAATAATCCGTTTTGGAAAGAGAGAAATGCTTCTATTCTCGCCTGTGTTCCCGGCTTAATCCGGGTTTAAAAAGCGGGAAGGATTCCAGGATTTGGGGCCAGAGGTTTGCTGCATGGGGGGGTGGGGGGGTCAAAGGTGGGAGGCCCTCCTCGCCGCCGCCGCTGAGCCCCTCCCTGACTCTTGCAGAGACGTACGAACGCTTGGAAGCGGATAAGAAGAGGCAGGTGCAAAAGAAGCGGAAATGCACAGGGCCCACCATCCGCTACTATTCGGGCACGATGCCCCTCATCTCTGACCTGGGATACAAGGAGGAGAACGTGGACGTGGAGGGGTAAGTGCCCCCTTCCCTTGGCCTGCTGGGCAGCGGGCAGAGAGCAGCAGCTTTGCCCAGGACCTAAACCCTCGCTTAGCCACAGAAATTTGGGGCTGAGTGGCAGCCGTCAGTCAAGGATTATCTCCACCACGATGGCGTTTAGGACTCTTTGGCTGCCTTGGCGGGTCCTGCCCCAGAGGCCATTTCACAGCCCAAGGAAGGCCGCTTCCAGGGCGCCAGCCAGGAACCGATCTCTGCTCTCCTCCTCCTCCGTCCCTTAGGTTAGAGCAGGAGGGTCTCCTGGAGACGCCCTCGGCCGCTGCGCCTGCCGCAAAATGCTCCCGCACCTTCATCACCTTCAGTGACGACGAGACCTTCAGGCGCTTCTTCCCCAGAGCCCCTCCCCCCAAGCTCCCCGTCAAGGAGATCTGCCCCGTCAGCCACAAGACCGCCGTCTACCGCGACCCCGTCACCGACATCCCCTACTCCAGCATCCGCTCCTTCAAGATCATCCGCGAGGCTTACAAGAAGTACATCACCGCCCACGGACTGCCCAGCGCGGGGGCCTCAGCTGCCCTGGCTGCTGGCTCCCCCATGCCCGACCCCGGCATCCGGCCCACCAGGCAGAAAATCATCATCAAGCAGAGCGTGCCGGCCCCCTGAAGCCCCTCCGTCTCCGCCACGGGTCGTTTGGCGCTGGAGAAACCAAAATCGTGGAAGAGCAGCATGAACACCGTTTCTTGGCCTGTTTGGGGTCGTGTTTTCTAGGCAGTTTCTGGACCAGTTCAAGAGGAGACCGCAGCTAAAAAAAAACCCCACACCCACCCACTGCATGTGCAATCTGTGGTGGAAACGGGAGCCAAAATGTTTTCTTTTTTATTTCTGGTTTCTTTTTCTCTAATTTGCCATCCCAGAGTGAAAACAAGGCCCCAAATGTTTCTTTCTTCCTGTCTGTTTCTCTGGTTATCCAGATGGTAGAACGGCCCCTGAGCACAGGCAGAGCGTCTGGTCTGTCACCCACAAACCGGACATGAGCCACGATAGCTTTGTGCCAGCTAATTCGCAATTCCACAACAGGGCACCGATTCTTTCCTCGAACATCTCGTCAGGTTGTTGTTTCTGTTGTGACTTTCGGTTATTATTTATTCTCTGTCCTTTTTGTGTCCCGCCTGGGACGGTTGTTGAGAGCGGTTCCTTCACTCCGCTGGGAAATTCGGCCTCCGTCCAGTCTTCCAGGCTGCACAGAAAAGGGATTGCGTTGGAGGGAGGCCGGATCAGGGCAGGGGAAGCCGTAATCCCAGCCGTGGCTTGATCTTTGTTTGCTAGTATCTCTTTTCTTAAAAAAATAAAATAAAATACACAGCTTCATAGCAAGTCCTCATTTTTAATTAAACTGGCACCGTCAAAGCTGGAACAGATGGCTGGGCCAGTGATCCTGGGCTGCCTTGGCCAGTTTTAGGAATATTTTCCTGAAGTTCAGACAGACGAAGTTCACATTGAGGTTCAAGCACAGAGATTTCGGGTCAGATCCTGAACAGGGAGGAGTTTCAAACTCTTTTGAGATTTCCTCATTTGCTGCTCAAATCAGGTCAACGGAGGCTGATCTCCCAGTAATCCCGCTGGCGAACGGAAGGCCATAAACGTTTTATCAGAACTATTAATGGTAGAACTCGATTAGCTGGAATGGCAGCCTTGTTTCAACACTTCTTCGCTCAAACGCCTGTGGGAAACAGCCCGGCCAGACAGTTTAGCCCTGTCTGTGGCTGCAGGATGCCTCGCAGAACCTCCAAGGTCAGGGGCACGGTATCTGTGAAAAGTAAAGGCAGACTGCGAGCGAGGGCCATCGTGTCCCAGTCCTGCCTGCAGTTTTCCTGGGAGCCTCTCTGGGCCCATGGAGAAGGAAAGGTACGGATTCAGACAGGCTGGGAGCTGCTTCAATCCCTGGGATGGGATTTGCTCTGAGCAAAACCACGGAGACTTAGCGATCCGTGGAGACTCCAGGTTCAGGGGCGATTTACCCCTGTCCTCCCTTGGGAGCAGGGTGGTGGTTGGTCAAATTTGCAGAGTGTCTTTTTTTTTCTTCGTTTGTTTGACCTCCATGGGAATAGGGGTGCAAATGAAAGCAAGCAAAGATTCTTAACCCCTTTACAACCCTGGATAGAAGAGAGGGAGGGAGGAGAAAGGGAAAGAAGGAAGGAAGGAAGGAAGAACAGGGAAGAGGAAGGAAGGAGAGAAAAGAATAGAGGGAGGACAGAAAGGAAGGAAGGAGAGAAGGGAGGAAGGAAGAAGGAAAGGGAGGAAGGACAGGAAGGAAGGAAGGAGAACAGGGAAGAGGAAGGAAGGAGAAGGAAAGAATAGAGGGAGGACAGAAAGGGAGGAAGGAGAGAAGGGAGGAAGGAAGGAGAAGGAAAGAAAGGAAACGGAGGAAGGACAGAAAGGAAGGAAGGAGAACAGGGAAGAGGAAGGAAGGAGAGAAAAGAATAGAGGGAGGACAGAAAGGAAGGAAGGAGAGAAGGGAGGAAAAAGGGAGAGGAGGGAAGGCAGCCTCCCCGCCCCCCCCCCCCGGCCCGGCCATTCCCCCCGTGGCCACTGGAGGCCGGCGGGGCTCCGCGGGGCGGCTGCGGAGTGATTGATAAGCGAGCCTGCCGCCCCCCCCCCC